CTTTATACTCCTGTACTACATTTCCGTTCAAAATGTTTTTAATTGCACTACTTGTCCGTTTTTGTCACTCGTTAACTTCCAGGTGAACCTTTTATCAAACACAATGAGCGATTATATAATTCTGTAAATGATGGACACAGAACCATGTTGGTAGTAGCTGAAACCGGCTTCACCTGGAAGGCTGCAGCAGCTACTCGCTCTTTAAAGCCCTTCCACATAAAATATGATTCACCAAATCGTTTTGTAGCCAACTGTTGGTTGCATAAAATGTTTTTTTGACAGTGTAGCGTCCTGGGTGACGTACAAAACCATAACGCCCACCGTGGACAGTTCTGTACATTACATATACTTTAACTTTCAGTATGTATTTTAGGTACATTTTCTAATGGCACTTTAACTTGGATGATATTTTATTTGCGCTATTGCTGCTTTCGATGGGTTTTTTTAACGAGTTATTTCTGTGACTCAGGGAGAGGCAGGCCGCCACCAAGCTGGTGAGACGCACCGAGAAGAAGCTGAAGGAGTTCATCCTGCAGGTGGATGACGAGAGGCGCAACACGGAGCAGTACAAGGACCAGGTCAGGAGCTTTCCTTCTCCGTTGTTTATCTCATATCTGTCTCTCTTTATTTTGGTTTCCCTGTTCTGGCTTTCCTCTGTGTTACCAGTGTGATATTCATGAGCTTTCTAGAACTAATCATACAGTATAAGTAAAATATAAATATCACAAAGCCAGAAGAAGATGGGGATTTCTAAACAACATGAGTTAATATCAGGTGGTTTCTCAGCAGTACGTCATACGACGGCGTATTAGGGCCACGTTAAGAAAAATGTTTTTCCACAGACTTTGAGGATAAAGTCGTAATATTTGAACCAGTTGTTTTAGGAGAGGAAAGTTGTTGAAATGAGGGCCGTGGAGAATTTCGTGAAGATGCACTTGAGCATTGGTTTCACAAACCAGGAGATACTTCATTTTTTTGGCGCATCAGCACCACATTACATTAGTATCAGGACTTTGAAAAGAATCTGCAAGAAAATGAATCTATTCTGAAGCTTCATCGGAATAGATTCATTTTCTTGCAGATTCTTTAATGTAATGACTTCATTCTTGTAAAATTATGACTTTTTTCTCGAAGTCTGTGGAAAAATCTTGTTCTTAATGTGGCCCTAATACTCCGTTGTAACATCATGAAGCTCAGCTTTGCATTACGGCTCGCTACATCTAACTTTATCTCCATTCGTTTGTGTTTTTTCACAGGTGGACAAGTTGAACTCCCGTTTGAAGCAGCTGAAGCGTCAGCTGGAGGAGGCTGAGGAGGAGGCTCAGAGGGCCAACGCCAACCGAAGAAAACTGCAAAGGGAGCTGGAGGACGCCACAGAGTCAGCAGACGTCATGAACCGTGAAGTCACCACCCTCAAGAACAAGCTCAGGTGGGAAACTGTAATGTAACGAAGGCTTTCTATTGTCTAGTTTCATACACGGATGGATGTAGAAGATCACTGGGAAATGCAGGCGATGACCTTAAATTAAACACAAGACTAAATGCAAGACTCTTCATGAAGTGGCATCACATTATTCTAAGAAGAGCACGCTAACTGTTCCTTTCTGTTCCAGGCGTGGCGATTTCCCCTTCACTGTGCGCCGCACTGTCACCCGCACCGGCATCGAGAGCGACGAGGAGAGCGAGCCCAAAACCGAGACCCCCGAGCCGAAGCCCGAGTGAACGGTGCCGCTCGACTCCTTAGAACTGCATCATAAACAGACAGACCCAAATACACATACGAGCACACATTACTGTAACTCCAGCGGAGAGGAACACAAACATGAGGATGTTGTCCAGACTAGAGACAGGGATTCAGCTCTTTCCTCCAAGTTTAGTCCTGCGACAGTCTGATCTCTTGAACAGTGACAATCTATGCATTCTTAACACACTTTCACACACACAGAAGCCAGTAAACTCGGACAATCGTCGTGCTGACAAACACACACACACACACACAATATTTTTTTGGGCCAAATTTTTCTTTTGCTTCATTTTTCATTCTCTGGGAAAAGTTCAGAAAAAAAAAAAAAGAAAGGAAAAAAAAAACGAAAATATTTTTTATAAAGCAACATTCCACTTATAATAGTCCTAATTTAGGATCTATTTTTCTAATTGAAGAAAAAGAAAGAAGTAAACGTAAATGAAGACAGATTACTGGAAGGGGACCAAAGTAATATCTCAATCTATAGACTTGTATTTTATGCAGACGTTTTTATAATGGTTAAGAATGGAAGTGCTTCATGTTTATTATTCTCGCGCTCTCGCCTCAGTTTATAAAGACGGTTTATATGCTGAAATGTATTCTATCACTTTAGCTGCAGTTAGCACTTGTGACTATGCTTTTGGGCTTAAATATTTGTTACACACATTTCATGTGGAAACTAAATCGGAGGCAGATGTCAAGTAACAATTTGGAGACTCATTGACAAACTGAAGGCATTTGATTGTGACTGTGCTGAAATTTCTTAATTTTGCACTGAGATGAAAAAAAAACACTTTAGCCTAGATATTATAAACCACTGCATTTGTGTGTTTTATTAAAACGGTGACAGAACGACGGTGCACGTGCTCCTATAGCAGGTGTACACACACTGCCAACACACGGTAAAGACCTTTAAATGCAGCTGACATCATCTACAGGGCAGGGTTGTTGGCTTTTTTCTGGACATGCATTGATTTTTATGTTTATCACTATCAGTGTTTTTGTTAATGTTCAGGGTTTAAAGTTTAAATGGGGGTGGTGGGGTAGTTTTTTACTCACAGCACACACACTGTATTCTCAAGGCACAGCTTGCTGAGAGGAGAGCAGCTGAGGTTGTCACGAACCGAAGGCGGATTCATCGCCGTCACCTGCGCACACTCGACTCCGAGCGGCCTGTAGGGCTTCGTACATACACACACGAGGAGTTAATGTGCAGCCAGGTTGTGAGTCGATGCGTTAGATCAACAGTTCTATAGAGATACAAGCTGTTTGTGTCTGTGTGGTGTGAACCCCTCGCAGGCTGTGCCCAGGGTCGGCTTTTGGCTCACACTGCTGGAAAGTGAGAGGAATGTGTTGTTACTTAAGAATAACAGCTCACGGTTAAAAGGATCACATCTTTCGCACTTAACAGAGGAAAATCCAAAAACAGAAGAAGAAGAAGAAAAAAAAAACTGCATCTCGATTATTTTGTAATGTTTGTCTGTCTGCACCTCTGGAATGGAAACCATGTTGTGAAATATTGGTATTATTGCAATTAAAGATGCTTTCTAAACTGCTACCCGTCGACCCGCTTGTGTCTTTGTAATGATTCCACACTGATGTTTGTTTGTTAAGCGCTGGAGGACAGGGGTGGGTCCAGTCCGGTTTGAAGGTCAAAATGAGACGCCTCAGAGAGCAAAGTTGTTGTTGATGAACTGGTGTTGAGTCCCCAGCAGAGGGCAGTCAGAGTTCCCCATAGGGACGAGCAAGTTAGAACCGGTTCTACCACGGAGTAAGTTAAAGTAAACAAGGATGGACACACTGGGGTGAGAGCTTTGTTTTTGTAGTAGATCATCTTCTTTTACATTCTTCAACTGGACACTTTAATTCCTGACATTAAGATCAACAACAACCTTAAATAAAAAAGTACTAGATACAGAAATACTGCATTGAATATTTCTATTACTGTGTTTTTTCCATTTAGTGCTACTTTATTTTACTTCATTACAGCACAAATAATGATGTTGTGGTTTTCACTCCACTATGTTTTGCACATGTAGTTTCTAGTTACATTCCATTCATTTTTGTATTATTTCTATAATTTTCTTTTTTTTTTGTTTTGGAAAAAAAAATAGAACAATAACAGATTTTCTACATTAATTACATGTAGTGCTTTTATTTATTGTAGTACAACTCTGCAAGGGCCCTTTTTACATACATATATTGTATATTTTTCTGTACCTTTGGCTACACTAATGCCCCAAATTTTAATTTTGAGTGAATTGTTATTTGACTATTAAGGGTTTTCTGGCTGAAAGTCACATGAACAAGTGACAAAAGACTAAGATGTTAACGTTTTTGATGATGTTAGGGGGTTTTTGTTGTTTATTTACATTTTTCCTGGAACTGCTATGACAGGATGGTCCATACACATTCTCAGTAGTTAATGGCAAACAGTTATTATAACTGCTAACAACGTTTCTACACGCCTCCACTGGGATTTTGTTCCTCTTTGTGATGATGTCCACGTCTTTGAGGTTGAAGGATTTACCGGATTTATCAGGATGGTCTTGGTGGCGATCCTTGGGTTCATCTTGACCTCTCATAGTTTAATTTTTAGCCCTTGATGATGATTCACACTGACTGCTGGATTTGAAAAAGGTTGATTATTGGTGTCTTGTGAGCAACCCCACTGCACAGCTCTCTCTGTGATGGACTAATGCTAAGCTCACCAAGCTGTTTGGTTTTAGTCACGACTTGTTATAGACTGATAACTATCAGCTTCATCAGCTTTTCTAAATTGATGGTGTAGCAAAATGATCTAGAAGACTGTAGAAATGACCAGGATCCGTTAGAAAAGGATGGAAAAAAATTTAAAAATAAGACTAATGTTGGACATGCATTTTATTTAAAAACAATTGTGTAAAAAAATAAAATAAAATTAAAACTACCATTTCTAGCATAATGTCTTATCTTTTGTGTCATTTCCATCCAGGAATAAAAAAAAGCTAAAATAAAAATTCACCGTGTGTCAAAATGAGGCATGGGTATGAATAATTTTGGCCTCAACCGTGAAGGTTGATGCGGACGATTTCCTGGATCAACCTTCTTGAACCAATCACAATCCAGCATCACCCAGTGGGCGGGGCTTATACGCCGTAACGACACGGGTGCGTCGTCAAACAGGAACCGGCCGGTTTTATCTTATCAATGGGAGGCAGTCGGCCGGTTTTATTTCACGGTGCCGAGCTTTTCTGTCGACTCGGGCTCAGCTCTGTCTGTCCTCTGGTTGTTTCAGGCGGTAAGAAGGATTTTTTACTGACGCTTTACTCGGCTGCTGGTGTTTCTCGGCCCTGGACGGACAGAAAACTTGACTGCGGCAAAACAGCAAGGTGCGTCAGAGGAACACTTCAAACCTGCCTCGTTTATACAACTTTTTTTTTTCTTTTTTCTTTTTTCTTTTTTTAATATCACACCAGAGCCTCTCTACATAACTTTTTTCTTCCCTTCACTGTTTCCTTCATGTGTTTTTAATTTTTTTTTTTTATTAAAAAAAAAAAAATCAACAATTAAGCTAGCAGCTAATTACTGGCTTCAAACTTTTTTTTTCAACATTTATATCAATCGCCCCTCAATTTTTAAAGAGGCTATAAGCACAAAAACACAAGTATTTTTATGTTTCTATATAAATTAATACTTTTGGCAGCAAAAGTGTAGATCAAAATCAATTTTTATGTTTATTTTTGTGTAACACTACTTGTGCTGCAAAGACATAAAACAGGATAAAAACTTTTAAAATCAATTTGTTCACCAAATTAAATAACTATAGAGTACTTAAAACTAGACAAAACAACATGACAACTTGTAAAATTAGAATCCAAAATACAATAAATGTAGAATATTGAAATATTAAAACTACTAAGAGCCTCTGAAAACATTCAGATTTTTCTTAAAAGTGCATCTTTCATGAACTTCTAAAGTGAATGCAGAGAAGTTCTGAAATAACTCCAGGTCCTGACCCACGCATGGCTTTAAAAACAAATAAGAAAATCATTTTAATATCTGTCAGATAGGCAGTGCAGGGATGCTCGTATAGCACCAATGCACTCCAGTTTATTGGTACCAGTTAGGAGTTTAGCAACAGATGAGACAGAAAGGACAAATCAATACCAGAGTTACAGTAATCCAGCAATTAGGAGATAAACAGAGTGGTGGCTGTTGTTATGTCATTCAGAAAGAGGATGGATTTTAATCTGGAAATGGTCCACAGTTGATAGTGGCACCCTTTCCCCACACAGCTTATCTGTTTGGCAAATTTCACTGGTGAGTCAAAGACTCCTGCCATGAAGGTTTACTGTCAGTGCCAGAGTGGGTGGTAGACCCTGTTGGAGAAGCCAAATAGCCCAGTAGGTCAGCAAGAACACTCATATAATTACTGTGATCATCAACATTAGGATGTACATTTAAAAAAAAAGTTCCATGTGTGGATGAAGATAAATTGTTAATGTATTTACTTTGATGCACTTTTTTCTGGGGAGCGATAACAGACCTGTATGTAATTCAAAACTATTTTTACCCCGACTGTGCTGAATCCATCCCCTGCATTATACGTTCAACACACACACACGGTGCACTAGTTTAGTCACAGTCATGTGAGACACATGCAGCACAGCAGCATGCACCAGATCCATCCTAATGTGCAGCACGGCGATCTTCACTTAGTTAATGAGTAGCTGTGTGTTGGGTGGTCGCAATTAGGAAACACAGCGTCGGTCAGGTGATCTGTACGTTCAGTCTGCGGTGGGCCGTGCACATGCAAACCTCATCATCTGCGAGGAAAAATCAATAAGCAAAGACTATTCTATGTGACCTCAGGACTCACAGGCCAGTTTGTGACTTCTTGTTTTCCTCCACAGAGGGGGCGGCAGGAGCCTGAAGGATTCAGAAGCAGAGGAAAAGCAAAACCTAGTTATCATCCCGAAGAACAATGGAGCTGGTGAGTTTTACGGTCGTAACAGTTCAGTGCTACCTTGAGGTCAGGCCGTCCTGTCTGGCTGATTATATCACTCTGGAATACTGATTACTATTTTGTGACTGTAGTCCAGAGGCAGCTGCAGATTGAAGCAAAACAGAAGAAGTGCAGGATCATTAAGTTTCGGGAGCAAACTCTGCTGTTACATCACAAGTGAATGAGTCAAAGAGATTAAACATTGCAGACATTTACAGATTTTGACGGTCATGTTGTCTTGGCCTACAGAACTATAAAAAGTAAAGTGAAACTGTTAAGTGAATGTTTTCCTTATTGAGATAATGTGTTTGTATCCAAGTTGGAGCTCTTGTGTTTGATCTAAAAATTGTTTTATTGTGAGAAAAAACAACAAAATAATGTGTTAACATGCTGGAACAGCAGTAATCTAGGAATGATTGTACTTTGAGGACACTGAAACACGTCACAAATACGTCTAATGGCTTACCAACAGCTTTAAACCCTGGGTAGAGTAAAGTTTATAAGAACACAATAACCCTTAACAAAACATTTTAGAAAGAATTTAATTATGAAATGGCAACTACAGATTTTGTCTGCGTTGTCTCACCAATAAAGCTTCATTGTCTGATAAAGAGATGTTTGCATGCAACTCTAATGCAGTAAATCAGGTGGAATCTGGTTGTGTGACGTAAAATCACTGCTGCTGTAACGTGGTATTTATTACAGAAAGATGAGCACAGAGATCTCAGATGAGAACGTTGTAGAAATGTAACTGAACTCTACCATTGTCGTCCTCTCCTCAGACTCACCCGGCCATCAAAGCCTTCATGTGTGGCTCCTTCAGCGGGACCTGCTCCACGCTGCTGTTCCAGCCCCTCGACCTGATCAAGACCCGCCTGCAGACGCTGCAGAGCGGCATGCAGCCTGGGTGAGCTGAACACTTACACACAGTTATCAGTATTACTAGTTTGCATCATCACCTCCAAAAGCTGCTTCACTGACGGGAAAAGTTTTACCTGCACATGTGCAACACACGGATTCCACATGAAAGCACATTTACTACCCATCACCTGAATGTCGGCTCATCTGAACGCTCCTCTTTCAGTTCGGGCAGAGTGGGGATGGTGTCGGTGCTGCTCAGCGTAGTGCGGACAGAGAAGCTGCTGGGATTGTGGAAAGGGGTTTCACCGGTGAGAACATCTTCATATTCCTCGTAACCAAACGTTTTGTCTTTCACTTGTACATGAAAAGGGATGCAACTTTCTAAAATGCATCTTTAAAAAAACCTTCTCTCTCCTCCGTCTGCTCCTTTTAGTCCTTCGCTCGGACCATCCCAGGAGTCGGGATCTACTTCAGCACATACTACTCCATAAAGCAGCACTTCTTCCCGGACGGCAGCCCGGGCGCCGTGGAGGCCGTGATGCTGGGAGGAGGAGCCCGGATGGTGGCGGGAGTTGTGATGCTGCCGGTCACCGTCATCAAGACACGTTTTGAAGTGAGCAGTGTTCTGTTTTAGATGAGTCTGGATACAGTTCTTCTATCAGACTGTCGTGGTGTTTTATTTATTTATTTCCAAATTACTTCAGTCTTTCGTCATCACTGAGGCAATACAGTTAATTTTTAACAAAGCAAAATACGTCATGTCAGCAGTTTCACAGAATCATGCCCGTTACACTTTTCATTACGTCTCATGTGGAAATGCTCCATCACACACTTTAAATCTGACACACGGTGAATGTTGAGCTAAAGCTTGAACACAATTACACATGTTTTTCAAATCTTGTAGCCCTGTTCTTAACCAGAGGCGACTACAGAAGTAGCCCTGGCTCAGAAACACAGACTTAAACCAATCAGTCACTATTAAACTGCTGCTTATCGGGACACTGTGATCGTCTCATTACTGGTTGGAGCAAATTACCGACTAGAAAACAAACCCTGAAGCTTCTGTGTGCAGTTAAATGAAGTTCAGGAATAGACAAATTAGCTTATAGCAATAATTATTTCCTCTTTCTTCTTATAAATATACGTTTTACATGGTTGAAATACGTAGAATTAGATTTGGTTTAAAGTTCGGTATGATCGTGCTTTTGTAGTATTGTGTTTTTTTTATTTATTGATTTAAAAAATATCAGTATTGTTGATACGTCTAACTGTTTAAGTCAATAAAAACACTGATCTGTATTTGTAGAAACTTAAAGCTGTGCTAACTTTCACTGATACCCATTGAACGGATGTTTTGAAGACATCTGCACAAGCAAAATGCTGTTTAAAAAATAGATTTTGTGCTTTTTTAAAAAATATAAAATGTGTTTATAGTTTGTTTTTTATGTGACCCGGTGTTTTCTGTGCTGACCTGACCTCCATGTGTTTGTGCTCCAGTGTGGCCGCTACAGCTACGCCAGTGTAGTCGGGGCTCTGCGCAGCGTCTGTCAGACTGAAGGTCCAGCTGCTCTGTTCTCCGGCCTGATGGCGACGCTCCTCAGAGACGTTCCCTTCTCCGGGATCTATGTCATGTTCTACAGCCAGGCCAAGGCCTCGCTGCCCAAAGGTGAGTACAGACTCGGCGAGAGATGCATGAAGACTTTTTAAAAATTCTTCCTGACGTCGATTTAAACTGAATCCATTCTATCGACATTCCTTCCAGAGATCAGCTCCTCTCCTTCGGCCCCCCTGGCTAACTTCTCCTGTGGGATCCTGGCCGGTATTCTGGCCTCGCTCATCACTCAGCCGGCCGACGTGGTCAAAACACACGTCCAAGTGAAGCCACAGCTGAGGACAGCAGAGGCTGTCAGATACATCTACATGGTAACTTCCTCCTTTACTTTTTTGTTTTGGCAGGTCTGAACCGTTTCACGCTTTATGATCTTGTGTTTCCGTGTTTTCATTCATAAATCCTTTGATCAGACTGTTTGTATTTGCGCAACACTTGGCTGCGTGATACCTGTAGTGATTATATCTGACGCCTGTCCTTCCCTCTCTCAGGAACAAGGACTCCAAGGCTTCTTCAGAGGGGCAGTTCCTCGGTCTCTGAGGAGGACCCTGATGGCGTCCATGGCGTGGACGGTGTACGAGCAGATGATGGCACACATGGGACTGAAATCCTGAACGAACATTGTTGAGAAAGAAAGAAGAAATTAAGTCAGATTAAAGACTGCACCGGAAGGAACTGCTCCAGTGCTCATAAGAGTGCCGAAGACTTTAAATGTTTCACCAGAGACGCAGTCCGGTGAGCAAAGGACGCGCACACTAGTTGTCTAAATGCATTAGAAGAGAGACGTTCTGTATAAAATGTGTCTTTATAGCTGAAGTCTGGGGACAGATTTTCAGCCTGTGCCATGTACCAGGTATGCTCTGATGTTTTCTCTTGCACTACAAGCTCTACAAACATTTCTGCAAGTATTTGGAATTGAGATTTTTCCGGGTTTAGAAATGCCTCAGCGGGAATTCCAGTGCGTCTGCGTCCTGGCTTCTGGGAGTCACATTCGGTCAAACGACTGCAGTGACACAGTCCACGATTACTTAAGACAGCGTCCCAGATAAAGCTCAGATTTCTGTCATGCACTTTAATCTCAGCAGCCGTACATTAACGCCCTCAGTGCTGTAGATTATGAGTCTCTGTGCCTTGTAAATAACACATTTCTATTTATATTCTAAAAGATTATTATTTTTTAAGTAACATATGTGCTCTAAAATGCTGCCTTAAAATGTCCTGATTTCCTTTTTGTATTCCATGCAAGTGTATTTACAATTGTTGAAGTATTTGACCTTTTTAAACATGTTTAAAGAATTAAAACTGTGTTAAATGTGTGTGTGTGTGACATACATCTTGGTGTCAGTGTCGAGTGCACTTGAAGTAAATGATTCAACAGAAAGCGACGGCTTCACGTTGGTGCCTGGAGCGCTCTGGGTGGGAGTCGCCGTGACACAGCAGCACACTTAATAATCAGTTGTTATCTGTGTCCCACTTCTTTGAATCTTTTACATACAACAAATGAAATGTTTTTTCATTCCACAAATTACAGTCGCTGATCCGTGCGACTACGTGCAGTTTTATCACTCCTGATTACTTTGCTCTCATTAATCACAGAGGACAGATATATGCACAGGTCACAATAACAGGACAATAGCAGGACTTGCTGATTCAGCTATCAAACTATCGGAAGGTTGCAACGACATGTTGCGGAGCATGTTGTAAGGGAGTCAGAGAACATGAGGGCCAAAGACTTATCACAGAGATAAGCAGCGCGGTGGGAGGGGTGCCGTGGCATCAAATAGGAAATAAGGACAAGGAGTGTAAGACTTACGCTGAAGTGAGAAAGAGTCACTTATCTGCTGAAATAGAGCAGTGATGCATGAAAAACAAGCAGTGCTTGAATGAAACAAAGTGCTGCACTTAACTACAAATTCAAGCTACTTTTACTTGAGTCTTTTCTTTTCATGCTACTTTCTGCTTCTACTCATGTCAGAGGGAAATATTGCACATTTTTACTTCACCACATTTATTTAACAGCTTATCTAGTTTACTAATAAATATTTTTGCACACAAAACATGAAGAAGAAACCGACAGTTTGTACAAAGAATTACTCAATTAATGGATTACTGAGTTAACAGAAGAATCAGTCGATTAATAAAGAAAATAGTCAGCTGATTAATCCATAATGGAAATAATCAAATGTTGCAGTCTCATACAAAATAGTTCAAAACAGTAAAATCGTACTTTTATATGAATGCATGAGTAACAATAAAATAGTGATAGAACATATAGTCGTGTAGCTGAGAATCTACTTGTACTGCAGTACTTTTACAGTGCCATATTAGTACTTTTACTTGCTGATGTGAATGCTTCCTCCACCACTGAAGTGCAGCTACTCACAGAAAACATATGCTGGCAAAACTTTCTAATTTCGAGGAGCTCATTTCATTTTTCTTACATTTAGAATCCAAATTGTGGGTTCACATATGTAAACCTCCATATTAGGTAGAGAATACATTAAATACAGGCTTCATTAATGGCTTATCCGCATGTTTTAGAAAGTTTTGGATGAATAATCTTAAGTGTTTAAATCTTCATGGTGGGAGACTTCTTCCTCTATGCTCTCAGTGACCACTTTATTAGATACAGCTGTTAAATCTAATGCATATCCAAAGCTCCGCCATAATATTCTGATCCAGTGAAGCTTTTACATTTTCAGTTTTTGTTTTGACTTGGTAAAAAGTTAAAAAGGTGGCAGTTCTACTTTATGTTAATGAGTGAAGTCACAGGACTGCATCATGAGGGGGAACACATTTCCTACAACATCATGAAACAACTGAAAATGTATATAACAGCTTTGTGACAGTAGAATTTACAGCAGAGCTAGATTGCATTACGGTGCCACCATGTCTCATCCAAACTGGGAATTAATTGATTTCTTTTGAATGAATCTGTGTCATAATTATCTGAATTTACAGAATTATGTAACTTGTTTTTGCCCAAACAACAAGCTCCAAATAAGTGTTGGTAGACTTTGCGTTTACTTTTTGCACCCTACTTTTTCCCAGAAATCAATGTCAAAACATCTCTTCCCCTCTTGTGACACGTCCCCCATGTTTCTTTAGCCTTATTTGTAAGATGTGTCATGTCCTTGACGTTTATCCAAACACAGATTTCGAATCAACACATCACTGCCAATTAACCTACTTATTTGGTCCTGTGTCTGTTCGGTCTCCGCAGCTCTGCACCATAAAGGCTTAGCTTACTGTAACCCTGTCTGTACAGAATTACAATATTCTGTACAACTTTCTGAACATAAGACACGTATGATTGAAATAATTTCACAACTCACTGTATCATTGTGTACATATTGTGATGCCTTTTGCCTGGAACTCTTTATCTATTGCAAATATCGTTGCGACACAGGTCAGTCTTTCACCGAGAAGTCAGCGTCTCAGCATTGTCTTAATATGGTCTTTCCATCCCCATTGTCTTAATATGGGATATCGATCCGGCAGCGACAGAGCTGACCTGCGTTTACCCCTGTGAGAGCACCAGGAAATACAGCACCACCCAGCGGCCAATCACAAGCAGTACAGCCTGCTTTAATTCCGCCCCTTTTCACTGTAACCAGCCAATCACAGGCTTAGAGACTTCCTATAAATACTACGTCATTTCCTCCCAGCTCCCTCTTTTTCACCGTGTGGACAGACTTCCATACGGCGTTGTTTCGTGGTGAGTTTAAGCCGGCATTTTTCAGTTAAAATAAGCATAAAGCGAGGCTAAATACACAACGTAGTGTTAGACAAGCCAATAAGTACGCAGAAGGGCACTTAAAGTGCTGCTTTTGAAGCCTTTATCGTCTTAAATTTCCGAGATTTGATGATGCTAACGCCAGCAGCTAACTTGCTAGCCACGGACACGCGTTCGTCTCGCGGTGCCTCCGTCGCGCCGAACGCCGCATTCTGACTAATGTCACAATTTACCAGATTAAATACCGTTAAACTAGTACTAGACATGTCAAAATAAAGTGGAAAAAAGGTACATTTGACTTACAGTGTGGTTAAAATCTCTTAAAGGCCTTCTGTCACCCGGATGGAGTTTCGTTTTCCCGGCTGTCGTTACAGCAAAACGCCAAATCCTCACTGCCTGATGGGATTGTAGCTCACAGTGGTGCCTGCCCTCACAGATCAGAATATATTTATTTAGATTTTGGGGCAATCAATCGCCAAGAATATTTGAGTTAGATGCATGAGTGCGGCTGCCTTCATCGTTAAGTATGGTGGGATGCTGTAGGGCACACGTGGGTCACTTAAATCAATTTTCCTCACAGCATCATTAAGACACACCACAGTGAAGGACATATATGCAGGACTGAACAGTACATCAAATAATAGATACATAACACTGCATCAATCAACCAAAACAGTAGATCCAAGTCAAAAATTGTAATGAATGTAAAAGGGGTTTTACAAGTTTTCGCTGCAGTCTGCCTTCTGCATCACTTGGGTACCGTTTGGCCTGCATTTAGTTGGCTTATATAGTGCTGAAAGCAATACTGAAGTCAGATATAGAAAATTTAGTCAGTTTCACCAGGAGTGCTTGTCTGACCAACTGTTTGCATGTACATGTTGATGTTTGCAGTGCAGACATGCTCCCGATTGACTGAATTCTGTCTCGTCCTTTTCCAGTTTTCCCACTAACTCGTAACGCAGGGAAAGCGGTCACGATGTCCGGAGGTCTGGATGTCCTTCAAATGAAGGAGGAGGATGTGCTGAAGTTCCTGGCTGCAGGAACCCATCTGGGAGGTACCAACTTGGACTTCCAGATGGAGCAGTACGTCTACAAGAGAAAAAGCGACGGTGAGTTGTGGGATATTGTTGAGCCCGATGATGTATGAGTCCTTGTTCATGGTTCTCCTATGGTATGACTGAAACTGAAGTACAAATTTCTGACTGTTGGTTCTCCTTTGCTCCACAGGTGTGTACATCATTAACCTTAAGAAGACCTGGGAGAAGCTGCTGCTGGCAGCCAGGGCCATCGTTGCCATTGAGAACCCAGCTGATGTGTGCGTCATCTCTTCCAGGAACACTGGACAGGTAAAGAGCCTCTTTAAGCTGTGGTTTCTGTTTTTGCATTGGGCCGCAAGTCCATGAAGTGTAACATGCACACTGTTAAAGCCGGGCACCGACGTCGGTGTTCAGGTGTCGGAAGTGTGCGAGAGAAATTGGGCCGGGTTTTCGCTAACACCATGAGGACAGCTGTCCCATGACTGGGGTTTGATAGTGACCTGAGCCACAGTGCATTGTATTAAATAAAACTAGTCACAAGACTTTGACTGAGACCTTACGTATAACTTGGTGTTTTTATGTCCACTTCAGAGAGCAGTGCTGAAATTCGCCTCTGCCACCGGCGCCACCACCTTCCACGGTCGTTTCACCCCTGGTACATTCACCAATCAGATCCAGGCTGCTTTCAGGGAGCCCCGCCTCCTGATTGTGACTGACCCTCGTGCTGACCATCAGCCACTGACTGAGGCTTCCTACGTCAACATCCCCACCATTGCTCTGTGCAACACCGACTCCCCACTGAGATACGTGGACATCGCCATCCCCTGTAACAACAAGGTGAGACAAGCTGAATGTAAATATGGCTGAATTATGAGTCTTTGCTTCATGCACACTGTTAGAGCCCGGTGCTGTCCTGGCTGTGCAGTGCGGGGTGTAGGATGTGTGCTAAATAAAAATGCTTGATCTTTTACCTCCTTTCTCTGAACCACACAGGGGCTGGGGGTAGAGGTCTCGCCACAAAATGCAAACTGTTGTGTAGATATAGTAAATATTCTGAAACAGTTGGAACAGATGTGGATCCTAACGTTTATACATGACGACTTTGTGACTGTTTCAGGGTCACCACTCTGTGGGTCTGATGTGGTGGATGCTGGCCAGGGAGGTTCTCAGGATGAGGGGTACCATCTCCAGGGAGCACCCATGGGAGGTCATGCCAGATCTGTACTTCTACAGGGACCCTGAGGAGGTAAGAATATTGCAGTACTTTACTTTAAATGTACAGAGGGTTGAGGCGACTGTTTAAATGATGTATGATCGTTGTACATCCTGCTTACAAACTGTTTTTCTTTGCAGATCGAGAAGGAGGAACAGGCTGCAGCTGAGAAGGCTGTTGGAAAGGAGGAGTTCCAGGGTGAATGGAGCGCTCCTGCAGCTGAGTTTGCCCAGACTGAAGTGGCTGACTGGTCTGAGGGTGTTGCAGTTCCATCTGTGCCCATCCAGCAGTTCCCTGCAGGTAAGACTAGTGTCCACTGATGCAAACGTTTATTCAGTGTTAATAAGTTTTTAATGAAGTGTTTGCCACTGAACTGCTGTTTAACGTACTTTTATTTTTCTTGTTACAGCTGCTGCAACTGTTAAACCAGGTGAAGTATTTTCTGGTGAGTTTTTTTTGCCAAAAATCATTGTATGCATGTCTGACATGTGTACAGTGGTTTCAGCCACTGTCTGAGGCTCAATGTTGTGTCTTTGTCTTGTTTTTTCTTCCACAGCGGAGGACTGGAGCACTCAGCCCCCCACCGAGGACTGGTCCACTGCCCCCACTGCTCAGGCTTCTGACTGGGGTGGCACCACTTCCGACTGGTCTTAAATCAGTGACCATGGCAACAATAAAAGTTTTTTTTTTTCCACTTTGACATCGTGTTCATTCACTTCTGTGCTGAAGGTCACTGCTGTTCTTCTGTAGACCACAGCAGTCAGGCCAGTGTGCCTTTATGAAACACTCAATGAATATTATTTCTAAGAATACACCACTGTAATGGAAAACACTTTTATACCAGTATGGTTACTGGGCATTTTGTTAGAAATTGCTCCTTGGATTAAAGCGTCATAGGAATGAAATGTGGGAACACTTGTGCCAGTGAGGGTCATCAGGGTCACATAATCCTGCATGACTGTAGGGTTTCTGACTTGCTCTGAACATTATAGAAGAAAATGTAGCTGCACTTTGGTGCCTCCTGTATTGATTATAGATCCAGAAATTGTGGACTGTTTAACTTGACATATTTGACCCCTGATGTTGCATAAACTTTGAAAATGTCAGGCCTTTTGCAGTCTTTGAGAAAGGACATTTAAGTAGTTATTTGACTGAACATGTAACGTTTGTTCATTCATACATGTACACATGGATAAGTTAAGACAACCTGAGCCCTTGACCCCTACACTGAAGGGATCCAGTCACTCTGTTGGGGGGTTTGGGTCTGGTTTATCCCCTTACTGATGAGGCTCCCTTTAAATCAATATGAAATTGATCTTTCTCTTATGGAACATTTCTATCCTGGTGATCATTTCCACAAGGGTAATGTTTTTGGCTTTAGAAAAATGTCAGTCAAATATTTTTACCTTTATGATCACAAGATCTCAACCCAATTGAAATAATAATGACCAACATGTTCCACTGCCATCAAAACGTCAAATGAGGTAATCTCTGTCTGGTGAGTGGTGTTCATCTCTGGTAGAGTTCCAGACGCTTTAAAAATATGAGATATGAAAGCTTGATTATCGAAGTTGTTCTGACAAAAGTGCCTCTCCGGAGCAAGCTGGGTCATTGTAGAGGATACTGTATTTTGATATGAATGTCAAAGTATGACTGCAACAATAAGAGACTTCAGTTGTGTAAACATCAGCATTTTGAGGGTTGTTTTATGTGAAGATATTTGTTTGGCCTTATTAGACAGGACAGAAACAGGAAAGTGGGGGAAGAAGAATCTGCAGCAAAGAACCATGAGCAGGATTCAAACCCATGACTGCTGCATCAGGGACTGTAGCCCCTACACATGGAATACAAGCTCAACCAGGTGAGCTATAGCGGCGCCCTTGAGTTGTTTTTTTTTTTTTTTTAAAGATGTTTGAAGAAAAAAAATCATTATTTCTGCATGGTTCCAGTAACAACATTATTTTATATCAGTTGTTTTTGTGTCATGCATTTACAAAAGCCCACCCGGTATCACTGGTAAACACTTTATTCAGGTTTTACAAACTACAACTTGAAAACATTCAAATGAAAATCCGTCTTTACTGCACAAGTGACCAAACATATTCCTCAATTTTGATCACATGTTCCAGCATTTGGAGCATTTTTTTTGGATCATACAATCTACAGGCCAGCTGTGCTTTTATGTTTATGAACTGAATTATCACCTTATTGTCATTATTGGAGAATAAATATGTTTTTCCAGAGAGAAAACTCAGCTCCAAAGAACACTTTTACGTACTGCACAGTGCATTAATGTTTCACAACAAAGCAAGTTTTATTATGCCAGTACGTTATTACAACATTAAAACTGTCAGTCAGCAAAAAAAACGATTTCAGAAAGTCTCTTTCCAGCAATGAGTCACATCTCACCCAAGCTTAGAAACAGGAGGAGTAAAGGGGCGACCAAAACTGTAACTGAGCTGTCATTAGTCATTCACTAACCAACACTGAGACTTGAAATAAAAGTCTGACTTGTATTGTTTTCACATTTTGAAATTAAGGGGTTAGTCAACACATTTTAACACCGGTTCTGGATGGCGACTTCTGACAGCCACTGGAGTTAAAAGATGCAATTAGTTCCCTGCTTGCTTTCTGTAACCACAAGCGTACTTTGAAAAGTTTTCGGCCTCACCTGGAAACAAGAGGTGTTACGTCCATAACTGTAAACTACAACGCCTTGTAGCAATGTCCACAAAAACTCTTATGCATGAAGCAATCAAAGAATAAAGCAGAGAAAGGCTTTGAGCTGGTGGGCTGTTGCTCAAAGCTTTCCTTCTTCTTTAATTGCTTCAAACATTTGATGGGCGTTACGTCCCTTGTCCTCGAGGAGGCTGATAACATTCTGAATTACTCTTGTAAACTGATATATTAAACTTTGCATGGGAGCACGGAGGTAAACAAGTGTAAATGGTGTTGGTGAATAACACATTTATAGATGCACCATGAACGTCTGTGGATAAACCAAACTACTGGCTGACAAGATGACCCTCAGACTGCAGAAGTTTGGCAGAAGAGGACTATTCTAGTATGATAATGACTCAGAGCAAACTGACAAAATCACCCAAGAGTTTCAAAAGAAGAAGAAGAAGGTGGTCTGACCTGAATCTAACAGAACACATTTGGGCCATTTTAAATAAAAAGGTAGAGCGACACAACTCCACCGATAAAGA